ATGGCGTTTCTTAACTATGAATTCGTCCAATAACTCCCCTTATACATAAGATACAAGTCTGAAATTTGGAATGCTATCCTGGCTAATTATTTTTAATTTGCTGACATTGAGATAAATTATGTTAACTTTTAAATTAAGGATTAACTTTTTAAGGAAGGATAAAATTTCTATCTTCGATGTTCGAAAAGCGCGCAACTTTTCCACCATTTTCTCGATGCAAGCAGGTTCAACTATTTGTTCTTCATTGATCGATTTACCAGGCACTTCTGAATCAGATTTCCTTGTAGTAGATTCAAGTCGATTTCTGTGAAACTTCCGTAGATTCCCACACGATTTCTGTTTCGAGTATCCTACACTGAAGGAGCCAAGGCATGCGCAATGGGTTATGAGGGAACCGTAAAGCTCATAAATTAATCCTCAGCCGTTGTCGAGTGGTTTGGGCCCCTCCTCCTCCTCCCCGGATCGCGAGTGGCTAGCGGTCGGCCATAGCCTCCCTCTGGCCTCCATAGCCTCCGGCCTCCCTCTGGCTATTCACCGGCCACTTGAAAGCCGCCCGTTGCCTCAAGAAGGCATGGGGCGTGTTAGCCACAGATAGTTGGAGTGATCACGGAGCCAGGGGTGACGGCCGATTTCATACGTGAGCTCAGATTTTACAGAGATCTGCTGGTCTCGGGGAACAATCAGACTTCGCAGTTCTATGATGTAGTCTTAATGTTCTGCAGTCGGAAGAATCATTGAGCCAAATGAGTAAAGCTTCCGTTAACAAAGCTGCTTTCGATAAGTTACTTGGTATTATTATTATCCTACTAAACATTTATCACGGTGTCTTGTTCAAACGAACTTCGAGTGCACTTCACACGTAAGTTTCATAGCACGTGAAAAATAACTAGACCCGTGAAAGTATGAGAACGGATAAAAATGACTAGCACTTGATTCATGGGCTCTACAGAATATTTCCGTCTGTAGGCGTTGACGAAACACCTGCAACGAAGGAGCCAATGTTACGGAAGCCGGCAGAATGTTCCGGGTTCTGGCGGTGGTGACTGGAAACGCTTGGTCACCTACGGTAGATACACGTGTAGATGGAACGACGAGGTCCGCTGTTGATGACGAACGTAGTCGTCTTCTGGAAGGCAGATTCGACACACGCTGCAGACATTCCGTGAGACAAGAAGGCGCCAGACCGTGAAGGCATCGGAACGTCAAAACAGCGACCTTGAACAGCGTGCGCTGCTGCATGCGCAGTTAGTGAAGATCACGCAATATGGGCGTCACGTGGTTGAATTTTCGCTTTTTGCATGCAAGTAGTTTAATACGGAATGCAGTTTATTCAGTGCCATGGTCGGAAGTCCTTAGAGTGTGGCATTACCATAGTCTAATCCGGTCGGAACGAACGTCACCACGAGGGCCTCGAGGGCCGGCCTCGAAAAATAGCGGCTGACGATACGTATTCGTCGCAGAGCGCCAAAAGAAGTGGTGACGACTTAGGCTATGTTATTGTTCATAGAAAGCTCCGAGTCGTGCAGCATGCCGAGGTTCCGAGCCGAAGACGTAGGCATGACGAACTCGTTGCCCACGCGAACAGGGTTGACCGCAAGCATATACTGTCGTCGAGCAGTCACAAACCAAATGAAGTCGGTTTTTTTTTGATGCATTGTGGTGGAGCCGGCTGGAGCGCATCAAGTCTGAGACGGCGTCCATGAAGGCAGACATCCGGTCCTGCAACGCTGCAGCGTCAGCAAACGTACAGTAGCCACAAATTTGGGTGTCGTCGGCGAACACATGCGGATAAAAGCTATGTGAATCAATTATGTTCAATGCGCCACACTCTTCAAGTACGCCGCAAGTGACCAACGATGGCGTAGAAGAATAGTTCGAACGCATTGGAATCTATTGCTAAGATAGAACTCGAACCATTGCAGCACTGTACCGCGCAGGTCAGGCCTGCCGAATGATACGTCAAATCGACTCCATAAAGTGTCGTGGTCGGCTGTGTCAAACGCGGCCGGCATCTAGTAAAGCCAGTGCCAAGTGGCCGCGGTCTATTCTGTTCGCAGAATAACTGAAAGCACTTGCAGCACAGCGGTTTCCATTGAGTGGGGATGAAGGTATGCATGCAGACTGGAAGCGAGGTATGAGACCGAACTGCTGGTTGTTAAACTGTCGGGCCACAACGCGTTCCAGGAGATTGGACAAAATCGACAGGTTGGAGATGGGTTCATATGATTTGGGATCAAAAGCATCAATGTCTATTTTTTTATCTTGATATGCATGGTATTGTGTGAAGGAACTTTACTCATTTATAAGAGATTTGCTCTTAGGTTGGCACTTAGTTTTTTCTCGATTATATAGTTTAACTGTAAAAATAAAACAAAAAAATTCTAGAAAATATTTATAAATGAATATGTCAGATAATTGATTTGGAATCAGCTCTTATTATTATTAGTGACCAAATTTCGTGTAGTTTTCGCCAAGCCCGTATCTACCCTTGAAAATGTGTTTGAATGATGAAACTCTTTTCCAGTTTTGCTTGACGGATGACCTCCGGTACTGACGTGGTCCAATGAAGACTCTGGTATGAAGAAGTGGAACTCCACCATTAGTTGTTTGATGCCAACAAGAAGGTTGGTGTCCAGAATGTATTCCAAGGTCTGCCATTCGTACAACTCAATTTCGATCCGCAGGGTCTAAAAATATTAGAAAATTTACAAATTTTACTGAACCCAGAGGTCTGCCGTCTCTTTTACTTGCAAAGGAGTGAAACAATCTGATCGATGCTTTGGGATCTCGAAAAATTGTATCAAGATAACTCCACCAAGTGTCGAAATGCAAATGTTTTTACGAAAACGAAAAAGCGAATGGTGTTTTTATTAAGCATTTTAGGCATTTTATGAAAGGTACATTTACAATATATTGATTGTAATTTTTACGAATGATTACTTATAATGTTCAACCAACAAATGAATAAATTTTGTTGAAATTCAAATTAGGTTTCTTCATATAGTAGCAAATGTTTTTTTATTAAATTTAAAGCGTCCATTCCTCCACAAAGAATGAGTGGCAACCAGAGCTCAGTAACTTCGCAGCGGAGGGAGACCCTAGCTATACGAGGAAACATATTTTACAAGTTGTTCTTCACAAATTTTCGGTCATTCTTCCTTGAACAATTATTATAAGAAAACCTGAAAAGGACTTCAGACTTGGCTTAACGCAAATAATATTCGTTGCTGAAACATTACAAGAAGTTCGAAGGCATACGTGTTGAGGGTGAAAAATGAGATGTTGAAAATCTGATGGGCATGGTTCAGCAGGCAAGAAATAGGATAGTTCTTCTACAATTATTTTTATTTTATTATGCATAATGTTAAACGACTAACTTAGTAATCTTCCTTCCATGTAGTTGGGGGTCTTAAAATATTAAGACCCACATATTTTTAATATCCAATATTTTTATATTTTAGGAAATATTTTTGTTCATATTTTTCTTTCATAATATATAATATTACTTTGTTAGATACTATTGAATATTTATATGATGTATATAATTATATTTATATTTGACTTAATATTTTTGACTAAAGTTGAAGCTAGTTATGTGAAGGAGTACCTAACCACCAAAACACGAAACTTTCAGCATTGCTTCGAATCAAATACAAATTTAAATAAAAAATTTAATAAGCGTCTAGTGATGCAAGTAATTTAGTTTACTTAATACTTTTTTTAAACAAAATTCCCGGTAATTGAGACTAGTTAAGCTATATAATTGAGACTGGCTGATATAACCCATTCAATGCCACTCTCGTAAATGTATTTGTTATGACATTTTTAATTCGCGTCAAATGGATTTGATGCAATTCAGGCTATTGGTCACTCATCAGAATCAATAAAAAATAATACTCTCTCACATCGCTGACAGTATGGGCCTAATATTTTCTTTATGAAAGTGTTCACATGTTTATTATATTATATTTACATATTTATTTATTTATCTGATAAAAGATGAAAGGGTCGAGAAAATTTTGCCTTCAATGCTGCTTACTTGCTGATCCAAGCAGCAGTTCAGTTAATCAACGTTCAGTCGTGTTCTGGATTCATAGTTCAATTGGATTGAATAAAAATCAACGCGTTACAATTTGATGCTCCAGCTAGAAAATTTTTTAAATTGCAAGAACTATTTAAAAAGCCATGAAAATGGTTGCTAATGATAGGATTTACAGGCTCCCCTGTAGCCACTCTCAGTCGCGACTACAACGACTGGTCTAAACGGGAAGTCAAGGTCCTTTAAGGTTATGTGGAGGAATGTTATTAGTCGTCGGTAACTAGTCTTGCAAATACAGTAGTATTATACAATTAATAGTTATTAATATTGATTTGAACGAAAATCATGCACAGCCTTCATCAAACTTAGCGCTAAATGAGCTCCATAGATATTTGTGATCACAAAACAGAGATGAGAATTTCATCACAGATACACCACTAAAATAGGATTTGAATTGCAACTCCTAGATTTTGTCCACGGGCGAACTCTGATTTAATTCTGGTTGAAGCTTCTTAATTTATCCCTGAATTCATAAATTTTTGCCCGTATTTTTTTTTGTGGTTATTGTATACCAAATTATATATCATTATGATAAATGGATGAACTTTAACGAAAAATGAATCATAAATCGAATGTTATTTTCGTTAAAAGTTAATACTGTAGTCAATGGTTCTTGCACCCAATCTTGGATCAAATAAATTCTCGACATGTTCAGGGCAGCAGTTAATTGTCCTTTTATACACAACATGTTGGGACAAAATTGGAAGAACTCCACCCTTGACGTCAAGCCAAGAGATAATTTAATTTATTGTTATCGACATATCGTGTACATACGGCTATTCTCTATAATATGGAGGAAAAAATCTGGAAGAACATTTAAATCCAGGCTTTCCTCCATGAACAACCAGGAAAATTGAGCTCTTATTCTCAGTGTACACGATGCCGAGGTGAGCGAAGTGGGTGGGCGCTGCGAATTAAACTGAAAGTCCTGCCAAAAGTCATGGTTCCACTGAACAAGTTAGTGTTCAGCAGGTAACACCAACAATTAAAGGGATGACTTCTGCAGATTAGATTAATAATGGTACACATGCAAGGTTAACTCCTGTACTGTATTTTTTATGTGGGAAATAATAATGCTTGTCGATTATGAATTCCTGTATGTATCATTCCTGGGTTAATAAAAATAACGTTAAGCAACTTATTATCAGACAGGATAATAAGTTGCAAATAAAACAAGGCAAATTTTTAATCAACAATGTATTCCAAATATGAGATCGCCTCCGTTGCGAATTAGTTTACAACTTTTATGCGATAAAAACACAAGCTATAGGTAATAATCGATAGTTTTTAAAAGCTATTATAGGCCCGATTATCTAGCCATTAAGGTTTTAATGTAAAAATTCATGTAAATTCATGAATTTAAATTTGGGCCTATCAGTTGGTTCTCATTTTATTCTCGAAGTTTTTAATTAATGATGGAGCTGGCCTCCGAAAAGTTTTCACGTTTCAAATCAAATTTTAGTAAATTTGCTTAGCATTTTCTTCACCTAAGATTTCTTGAATAATCGTGCTTAAATAAACCAAAATAATAAATCAAATTCCCTGACTCTTATAAAAAACGAATAAAATAAAATATCTATTTAAGTGAGATCAATTTACAAGGATTGCAGCTCATTTTCAACATCAGTGAGTGGGAAGGAACATTAAGAAAATACTGGCATAACTTTCTAAAACTTTCTGAAGCGCCAGCCGATAAATTTTCTAGCGAGTTAACAATATTTAACATTGAGGGAGAATGGGAATAAAAATTATTAATGCTATAGTTATAGACGTTCCGTCGCCTTAATGAACTTTGTTTAATTCGTTAGTGTTAACTTGGTTTGCAATTGATCGCAAACTAATGCATATTAAATTTAATGAAAAGCTTTGCAACTCGGAATAATATTAATAATTTCTGTGCATTTGTGCTGGAAACGTGTCTTTTCTGCGTATTTAATGAAATATCACATTACAAGGTTCAAGGGCTGAATTAATACCGTGTATAAATTTGTTCTTCCTGCAGGTTGCGGAGAGTGTGTAGCCTAAAACGACTTCAGTCCGTCGTCGCAACTCTAATTTTGTTCACTGTTTTGAGCCAAATTCCTAACGAAAACGAACTAAAAAGCAGGAAAATTAGATATGATGATTCCATTGAAAGCAATACCGGCATTGAAAATCATCATTCGAATGCATTTTCAAGAGGGTAAGTCCAAGTCTTAAGGAAACAATAGGAGATTATTCAATTGTTTATTGTTTTACCTGAAAAATTTCAGTAAATTATGTCGAGTGTAACAAATAAATCCACTGCGATACGTAATAAGTGTTTCTCTGCTTACAAACAGGCCTCAAATTTTGTACTAGAACTCTGGCATCAAGAGATGAGTAGGAACGCACACGATTTATTGTGATGCAAACGAACGCGATTCATCATGATGCCATTTTAATCATACTAGTAACTTACTTGTTCACTAATTTTATTTCAAATAATTTGTTTATGTTCTAGCCCTATTTTTAAGTCGAATTTATCAGCAATAATTGTAGACATGAAATGCTGGTGCAGGAACTTGTCGTGGCTAGTATCACCTGAGGACTTTTTTGGACGTCTGGAGGGCGGCCACGGCCGAACTCCCTGCCGTAAGCTGAAGAGCATGGGAGGCCAACCGTGCAATAGGTGGGTCATAGTGATGCATGTGCAATGGGTGTGTCATAGTGATGCATGTGCAATAGGTGGGTCATTGTGATGCATATACAATGGGTGTGTCATAGTGATAGACGAAAATAAATAAAACGAAAAACAAAGAGTGATCACTCAAAATAATAAATAGCAATTAAGAAGGAATGGCTTTATACACTCCTAACGGAGCAATATTAATGTGATGTTTACACCACGAAGTCTTACAGCCTACCTTACTACTTACAAATTCATACCCAACAATAGTTATGAAAAAAAGAAACAGAATCTAAAGAATGTGGAAATTTCTAGCAGGGTGTGTCATAGTGATGCATATGCAATGGGTTGTTAGGCTTAGAACAAAACGGCAAACAAAATTGAACTTTTATTTCAAAGACGACTGGTCCAAATCTTGAGAATCAGGCGCATTCTCAGAATATTGATGATAGAACAAAGTCCCACAAATTAACGCTTGGTAGCGGTTTCGTTACAGGTTATCGACGTTATACCGACGAATAAACCCGGCCCAACATATCTGCATAAGCAAAAAATACCTTTTAAATTTTACAATTCTGCATTACAGCAAGATTATTTCGATGTCGCATTAAGTTTCAATAAATACATTCACAGAAGCCAATTTAACACACCATGACAAACTGAAGGCTCTGTATATCGTAAACTGCATGTGTCGCTTTAGAAAAGTCCTCAAAAATCTAAGGTTGTTTCCCACCAGATCCGCAGTTATTCTATCGAATAAAAGAAATAAATAACTGTAAGATAATTGGTACTAATCAAAAATTACAAATTCATACCCAACAATAGTTATGAAAAAAAGAAACAGAATCTAAAGAATGTGGAAATTTCTAGCAGGGTGTGTCATAGTGATGCATATGATGATATGCAACAGGTATGCCATTGTGATGCTGGTTAACTACTAAATGTACGTGCGGTGAGTTATGCACCAGGTGAAACTGTGGTGCAGCGATAAAGATTCACGAAGGCTCGTAAAACGAACATTACGTTCTGGAAAAACGCGTAACCCACGCAAGTCATCCCAAAACCATTATTTCTTTAACGGTATTGCAAAATTTCTTTAAGGGTAATTATTTTATCAATAACCATAGTTTTTATTTAGCTAGACTAATATTTCTTTTTTAGAAGCATGTTTAGTTATCATACGACGAGTAATTATTTGTTGAAGAAACTTAGATCTCGTACGTTAAAACGTAAAAAAAATTAATTTTTTAACTTAGAAGAACCCTTCCTCTGCAGAGTTGTCGACGGGCACAAGCAGCTCTGTCTGGACACCGACGTTCACATCAATCCCCGCAATTGCACGGTCTACTCGTTCGGAGTTTCCACGGAGATCACCTTTGATCGAGCTGTGAGAAATTAGTCTTCATTTAGTAATTATTGTCCTTAACAAGTGATCAATTTTGGTTAGCACAACGCTAATCAATTAAACTATAGCCTGACAAAACCTGGAAGACTTAATATTAGAATGTCTTTAAGATATGCAATTTGAATTTTAATCATAATATACGTTGAAGCCAAGCTGCACTGTTGCCTGCTACATTCTCTTTCCACATAACAGGGGTAAAAAATTATGTTTACCTTCTTCAATTCAAGAATTCGAGTACAATTTAACCTATTCAAATATCTTTCAACAATCACAATTTGTACCCAACAACTTACAACAACGTGATTTCAACTTAAAAATAGCATTTAGAAACTTCCTACCTCATACTACAGAAAAATAAAAGAGAAAACAACGCTGATCTTCCGGACACACAATCAAGACACAATCAAAGTCATGTCTTCATCTAAGATTTGACCCTACTCGCCTCGAGTGCAAGCATTTCAGGTTATCAAGTTTAGAAATATATTTTTTTCAGTTTTCATTTATTCTCCGGGAGATGCGAGTTTTGCAAGGAATAAATTCATTGTTTTCTATAAAAATCTATTAGCAAATGCAAAGTTGAAGACTCTATAGAAAACGTCCCGAACAAATATTAGAATCTAACTTATTTTACTCAACTTTAACACGGTGCTCTACACACTAAACGGAAGCGTCGACTGCGGAGACACAAATGGCGCACCGATGCAATGGCCACTCATTTCCACGGTTTCTTCCCATGCAAATAAGTTTATGCAACTTGATGAAAGTCAGAATTCTGTTTAGAATTATCAAGTTCATCTGAAACATTTTTGAATAGAGACAAAAAATAGCCGTGTTAAGGAATATCTCGCATGAAAAGCTTGTGAAGTCCTTCAAACGTTTTTTTATAGATTTTTTCGAAGTAAACCTGTTAACGTAATTAAGGTTGAAAAATATTCGCAAGGCTGACTTCTATCCAGTTGCTTATTGAATCAAAAATTAAAATTTTTTGATGCGGGAAGTTCATTTTTTATCATTAAATTAAATAATCTATTTAATAATTTTTCAAATTTATTGCAACACTAATATTAAAAATTAATGGACTTATATGTGAATTATACAGTATAGCAATGTCCATGACAAAGCAATGGAAAATTACAATGAATTTATCCGTCTCCCAGTAATTGTGTCGCTTCCTGGTTTCTTGTTTCATTAAACACTAGTACGCTTTATTATTTTATATGGATGGATGAAAATATTTAACTGATATTGCACCTTGACTTGAAATATTTGTTATTTCAATTATTTCTAATGTAAATTGACTATACAGGACTTTTGCATGCCTTTCAGTATATCAAAATTTAATGCACATAATTTTCACGTTAACTGAATTTGCTTTAATGAGTTTTAAGAATGGTTTCAAATTATGAACCTCATTTAATTACAGAATAATTGATTGCAGATGGCGAAGTACGGCTGTGAAGTCCACATGATGGATCCTACCCTGCCTCCTGGCGTGTACAAAAACCTAGGACCCAAGATGAAGTTTCACCCTGTAGGACTATATTCAAAATCCAAGGTAAATCCCGTCACTTAATGAGGAAATATTTTGCTCGGATTTGATGCTTCTACAGGCACTTTGCATTCGGGCTCAGCTAATTCAACTGAATTTCACACATATTCAATTACTTTACCTTTATATTAGTTACAAGTTCAAATCTAAAAGTTAATGTTTTTCCATCTTCTTTTCATTACAAGGATCAGCTAAAGAACACACACCTGCATATACGTGTTTTGTATACACGGAGAACCTGTGCCAAAAAAAGGTTAAGACGAAAGAGTTAAGACGAAAGTTAAGACGAAGATTTTTGGGAAAACGTCACTAGTTATTTTTTAAACGAAATGATTGAGTTCATCATGCAGTAATGGCTCTAATCAGATCTGTTGCTTTAATTTATCGGTAAATTATGCAGTGTCTTAACACGTCACTATTTAATCATTGTTTAATCATTACACAGATTGTAGCAATGAACTTAACACAATATGCGGACTGGCAAGGAATGATAAACTCCACATTGATGACATACAGTGAAGTACAACAACTATTGGGCCACCACGCACCAGTGGACTATTTAAAGGTAAGACAAAATTGAAGTTTTTCAGAGATATAACATAGACTAAGGCTATTATATGTTTACATATTATTAGTGTACATAAATGCTGACGGTAATTAGGCATTAAAAATGTTTTAAATCATCTAATAATCACTGAAAATTGATTAAATAATTGATTTATTGTTAATATTCATCAGATGGACATAGAGAACTCAGAGTGGGTGGTATTGCCTCACATGATGGCGAGAAATCAACTGGCCGGAATCAAGCAAATCGCAGTTGAAATTCACATTGATAGCTCTAAATTTAGCAAGCCCGAGGTAAGTTTTTTTTTTATTGAAGATGATAAAATTTTTATAAAAACGGCCCTTCTCTTTTACATTCGTGAATTCAGAATTGGAGCTAATGGCCGTGGTCGTACTTGTACGATCCTTATTAAGAAGGAATTTATTTCTCAGTAACCAAAAAAAGAACATTTTCTAAGCCGAAAATGAATTAATAAAAAAAATTGCAGGCCCACAATTACGAAAACTTGTAAAAGAGCCAGTGGTGGGTTGTAAAAATTATTTGGTGACTTTCAAGCAAATTAAGTTGTCAGAGCTCTCATAGAAATACCATACATTTTTTTGTCCACAAACTGGCCGGGTCTAATTTATAGTTGGGTATTTCATACGAAAAATCATTGTAAAACTTTGGAAAAATTATTATTCAGCTTTAAATATAATCAGAGATGCGCAATACGTTAACGTAACTCGAAGCAGCTCGCATAATTTCTGCAGTTTTTTGATCAAAAACTGTGAAAATTTCGCAGTCCTCGCCTCAGCCTGTGTAAAAATTAAAATCTTTCACGTTCGCATTTTGCTTTGGTTCCATAGTAACGTATCATGCAACCTGTTATCGAAAACAGCATTTACGAAAAAATCTTTAACTAATTCCTAGGTTCAAAATGTATTATGTAATTCCTATGTCTTATGAAATTCCTATGTTTAACGTTGTAGTTTAAAACAGTCTTTAATTCAGAAAAATGAATGGGCAAATGTCTAAATAATGAAACACTCTCTTACGAGCATAGTTTATCACTGTTAGAAAAAAACGGTGAAAAAAACAGTCCCACTGGCGTTCTAGTGGCCGGTCGCCCCGTGAAAATAAGCTGTTTCGCCATTTTTATCAGATGTATTACGGATTTCTAGTGTTAAATTGGAATAAAAGCGGCGCCACGGTGTTTCTTTTCACGTGCCGACCGGCCACTGAAACGCCGGTAATACCATTAGCGGTAATTTTTCTAACAGTGTAGACGTAATACTCATTTGCTGCACCAAACCGGGCCAGGATGAACAAGACAGCGCCAAAAATGCATCATTCTTTAGTAAATATCTCACTCAAAATCTGTATGCTCGACTTTATCTGACAATAGCTATTAATAAGCTGAAGTAATTTACATTAATAATTAAAATAACTACGCAACTAATTGAACTAATTACAGAGGGATTGAGTTACAGAATTAATTGATGATAAGATGATATGACAGGTAACCGAGTATCTGCGAGGGCGCTGGAGCATTCTGGAAGGCCTGGAAGAGCACGGCTTCCGAGCGGCGCACTACGAGCCGACGCGGTCGCTGGAGTCCGAATACAAGATACCAGGCACCAACAGGACGATCTTCACGTGTGGAGAACTGTTCCTAGTGAACAAACATCATAAGGATTCAAATTATCATAATTTATGATAAGAAATTAGTCGTCGTTCATTTCATTAATAATTAATCTTTTAACCCCATGAGACAAAGTTGATATTCACCGGATCTTCTTTTTTTTTGGTGAATATTTTGGTAATTTCTGGAATTTTTTGTTAATATTTGGTAATTTTGGGATTTTTCGTAATTAGAAAGAGTTTGGTCATAATTTTTACAGAGGGTGCTTATGTAGGAATTTAAACACTTACAACATTAATGCAGCATTTATATGTCCACCTGACCTAGCGACTCTTAACAGCGCAACTCTTTCTTTGCGAGTAATTTTGTATGTTAGTCTGGAGATGGTGGTCCTTTACGCGGAAAATGATTGACACGGGATTTTAAAACCATTATTTATTGGTAATAAATATTTATTTTATTTATTAACATTAGAACCAATAAATATGCCTCACAATTGCTCAAGAGATTGAGTCATGTTCGAACTGCGGTAATTGATTGTAACGTGACTTGGTCAGCTTACACGAGCACGGAGGAAAGTTACGCAGGATGGGAGAAACGGTGTGTCCAAATTTTGCACAATGAGCGCACGAAAAATATACACAGTGAATGAGGAAAATAGAATTCTATCCAAATTAACTATACAATTATAAACAAAACTGTTTGGAATTTTTTTTATTTTTTTATTGCCTCTATTATCCAGCACTGCATACTGGAAGTTGTAACTTGTTGGAGGTCGTATAGAATTAATCTCAAGATCTTGGAGAAAACCGTTTTAAAAAATTGTATATTTTGGGGGTTAGATTGGACTATTCTCTAATTCCTGGCTGCACCTAAAGATCATTCATGATTTTGCAAGGAAAGATAATTATTTATTAGATGGGATGTTATTTATTTCTCTCTTTATTTATAAATCGCCAATGACGTGATTTTGTGTAGGAATCGGTTCCACTTTTCATGAATTCTGATTTGTGATCCCACCACAGAAGTATATACATGGCTCAATATTTTTGTGTTAGTCATACCAGTGTTGTTCAGTGGTGCTTTAAGTGATCATGAATATTTTTCCTCTATTTATCTAATGCAATCTGTGCTAAATTTTGCTTTTCTAGCGTATTTCACAAATTATAAATTTGTATTGTGTTTGAATTCGCATAAAGGCTACGAAACAATGACTGAAACAGATTCAAATTGGGAAGTCGGCCTAGAGATAACGCTCGGTTAAATATTTTTTGTAGTAAAAGTTCGGATGTTCAAAATAATATTTTGGTTCATTTTTTAGTTTTATTTGTCGTTCTCTTTGATAGCAAAAATTTTACTCTACAATCATACAATATTATTGGGGCCACTGACGGCTTTATTTTCTTAATTATTTATTGAATGCGCTTCAAAAATTCCGGTCGATATAATTTTAATGTGAATTAATTAATTAAATGGTAGAGTTGAGTTTATTAAAGCTCGCTAACTCGATTCCGACGTTTACTTACAAATTCTTGGAACTTTTTCAGTTTGCTTGCGACGAATGGTGAATTGGCTACGTCGCTGACATTTGCTACACTTGCATGTTTTTGTCACAGATCTTAGTAGCTACGAACAAGCAACTGAAAAAACAAGCTGTTTTTCGATTGTCGGAATAACAAAATATATAAATTAACTTAGATATTCACATAATTCTGGATGATAATAATTTTTTCCGGAATCAGTTTTTCTTCGACAGAATCATTATTGTGATTGAAAACGAGGATTCAACAATCAACATTAAAACGAGGAACGATGACGATATTAACATTTTCATGAACACTTGTTGATTTTTTAATCCTTGCTAGTAACTCGAATGTACGATAACATTATATCTGAATGAATTTAGTTTTAGGCTGTCCTCTGGTGTGCATCAGAATGTTATACCACGTCATATTGGTATCATTTGTGCATTCATGTGACTGCATTAGATTCAGTACAAGTAAGAGTAACCCTAGGAACCGGTAACTTGTAGCAGATTTAAATAGAACAAAGGACATGGTCCGGTATCTATCCGAATGACCTATGAAAAATCAGATCGTCTCTTAAACCTCTCATGCTCTTATTTGTTTTATTGGTTTTCACCCGAAATCTATTATTTTAGTTTGTCTATTAAATCTTTTATTCTAGGTCGCTACTCAGGTCGTTAATTTCGTCTAGTTTCCTATGTTGAGCAGCGTAACTCAGTTTGAAATTCGTCCCCATGTTTAATTCATTTTCTACTGATTTAAGCAATACTATTCATTTGATAAGCTAAGAAAAAATATTTTATGTAGTCTCTCTTTAAAAACGTCTTAAATAGTCTCTGTCTCTGGCTCTGTATCGACAGCAGCACCTTAATGAGAGTCGAGCTTGGCCACTTCATTGCTATAGGGCGCAAGCCACTCATCAATTCATCAAGGGATGGAAACTCCAGCATTTAATTCTTGCCTATACTTTTCTTAACAAACTTTATTTGTGATTGCAACTGAAGGCTTTTAGATGTGCTGTTGAAGAAGAAGTTCAATCTGGCTCTTACGACTGTGATTTCAGGTTGATAAATCTGTAACGGGCTTCACTTTACATTAAGATGGTGTTCGTGAATTCGTGGCTCGTCTCTATATCGACATCGTTCCTCAGCTGCTAGCTCATCGCTTAGCACTCGGCTAGGCTGCTAGGAGCTTTAAGTTTCTTATTATCAAGGAAATTCAATTGACTTCACTATCAGAGTTATCCAGTATATTCCTAATTCATCCAGTATATTACTGTGGATAACAGACGAAAAATATTATACTACTATTACACTATAAATAAATTATATATTCATCAGTAAAAATTTGTATGTTTTTTTCCTATTTTTTGCCGTGCATTTCGATTTTGAAAAAGCTCAAAAATTTCGACCATCGTCACTCGTGGTTCAAAATATACGATAGATTCACAACTCTATGTTTTAATTTTTGGCGGTACGAAATTTAGAAGTAAACAAAAGATGTACATATGTGGGGTGACTTATTATGTGAAAACTCATAAGAAAAAATAAATCTTGTTGTGTTCGAAAATGAAAATTGTTTTAAAGAATAATTGATTGGTAACTTTGCACTCCGTAAGCCCAAACATACTAAAATAATAATGAACAATCATATACCTACACATTTTATCAAAGTTTTCTATTTCACATTGATTTCAGGCTAATAATTTCTTTCCTTTCGAGTTGGTTGGGTTGGATGCAAAGACGTAAAGAACAGCAATACGACTTTTTTCTACCTCCTTTTTCAAAGCGTTACTTTGTCCTCCATATTCTAATTCATTTATTGCTGCACTTCTTCTTCCGTTTCCGCTCATTTCCCTGTTTTGATGACATGATTCATTCTCTTGCAATTGGAAGGCATGTATCGGATAGTCACCGATATCTGTCAGCAATCCAACTCTTTTGAACCCCAAAGACGATAAAGACTCCAGCTGACGCCAGTAACTCCGCAAGGTAGGGGCCTGCTAGGGGAAAAATATATCGTCAGTTTCGTGACGTGAATTTCTACCACAAAATTGAGCCACGGCTGAAGAGCATAGAAGCTATAACAATCCATTGACATGGGTATTTTCACAAATTAAAATATAATTTTTCCTGCCTAATTCATAAAAAACACAATTTTTCTCTATTTTGTGCTTAATTTGTATGAAGTGCCTTTTTCACAGATTTTTTTTACGTTTCGAAACGGCTTTAAAACCATGTCCCTTATATAAGCATTTGTGTTCATGTGGATTAGACTTATTGCAGGATTGGCCGAACAACGCGAGATTTGTCGATGATTAAACTGCAAAGATGTTCCCTTCACTGAGGAATGTCGTATATCTAATTGGAATATAACTTATAATATTAAGTTATTATTTTATTAAATCTTATTAATAACTTGTTACCTCCTCGCCATTTGTGAAGAGTAACTGGGATCTGACCAGCTAGTGTTAAAATACTGAAAAATTTATAAGATGATTTCTTTATCAGAAAGTAGTGTCATTATTTTGTTGACTCAATGGCTACATTGTTCATTTATAGTATCATGTACTCACTGCCAACGATTCTTTGCGTGTATCCAAATGAAGCTCTGCGAGAACTTGATATGTCAGAAGCAACAATCCGCTAGAGAGTAGAAGAGGAATCACCCTCGAGATCGGAGAACCGCTAGAAATCTGCCCAGGCATCGAAATGTAATATTTTTATTTAACTTAATCTTTAACGGGAGGCTAAATTTATTAATCATATATTTAATATCATGTCACATTCAAGCAATCGTCTGACAAAAAAGATCGGAGAACCGCTTGAAATCTGCCCAGGTATCGAAATTTAACATCTTTTTTCAACTTAATCTTTAACGGGAGGCTAAATTTATTAATTATATATTTAATATCAATCATGTCATATTTTAGCAATCATCTGCCAAAAAGTGTCAGAGTAAACCCTTTAGATGATAGATAAATTCTTGGATTTTTACATATCGACCTATGTTCGGAGATTGTTGAAGGATGGGCTATAGCTTATGTTACATCAGCTATACTAAATTAACGTCAATACTAAATTCAATACAAAATACCAAAGTTACTATCAACCACTTACGTGTATTGAAAGATATCGCTGTCGAGGATGAACGTCGCCATGTAACGGTAAATTCGCAAATTTGGTATGCGGCTGTAAAAAAATTAATAAATGTGTCGTGCAATAAATTTAAACAGCGTTTACATCTATAAATACTAAAGCCGAATTATTCCATTGGGCTTCCACAGAAGAGTAAAGGATTTTATCATACATTCAGTAAGAAGTCTAACAATTTCCAGCTGTGCACCGCTTTGAGAATGGTATAGTAAAAAAAAATAATAAAACTAACTGTCAACAGTTAATATTATTTCATAGATCACCATATAAAATGGTTATGTTTACATGCAATTTATTCCATTTGAAAGCATACTAATTATTCTTTTAACCCTTTTTGAGCTTGAATAAGTTTCGAAAACTTTACTAATGGGTAGCGCCATGCAACAAAATTTTCCCTTTGATTAACTTCCTAAAATGGTAATGACCGGAAAACAATTTTGTTCCGAAAATATAAGTTTCACAAATTTAACTCAAGCTTTTGTTCAAATTTCCTATTTATGTTTTTCACCATTCTCGAAACTTAGGGCACTAATATAGAATTAGAACTATAAATTCGTACTGCAAGAATAGCTCAATCTGCTCTGGTCGTTATGTTCCGGTAACAAACTCACCTTCAAAAAAGGATTTTCACTCTTGTTGACGCCAAGCACGATTTGCTCCACTTGGCAATGGGTGACATACTGCATGAAAGAACCAAATAAATAATGATACTATGTACTGCTTGTTTCAAATATTATATATTAAAAATGCGTAAATTTGAACATACACGTAAAACAAACTCTATGAAATTATTCCAAGTAAAGCAAATTTGCGTGAGTCATGTCCAAAATGACCATAAAGTCAACATTGCTTCTTTCGACAATATTCCAGCGTATTTATAAATTTTTCAACGTGCAGGCAAAGTCTTTATTGGAAACGATAAATGAGCATATACGAGATTACTTGGTGAACTCACCAAGTTTTCAGCCGAGCTTTGAATTTTGTCAGTGACTACGTAAAGAACACATGGCTGATCACCGGCATTTTCGCTTGCTTCTTCACATCTTAACACTTGATACTTTCTGTAAAAAAAACATTGGGTAAATTAAAAATGGAAATTATGGGAGTTTGCTTAATAGCTCCTTCAAGAGATATGCTAAACGGGCGATGTATTATTCCCCTAAAAATGAAATGATTGAACTTATCTTTCTTTTAACAATTTGTTTGTTTTCTGAGTCGGCAGGCGGCGATAGCATCATTCCAATCTTATTCACTGTGGCGACTGTTTGTTCTGCTGTGTGACATGACTGTCAGAAATTGAGATAAATAGTTTGCGCTATGCGAGGTGTAAAATTTATACATGTAAATGTCTAAGCCTGGAATAAAAAAATAACAGTTTTCGCGCAAGGGACGTGCGTACACTATTAATTCGTAGTTCACGCATTATAAACACTAAGTTGTAAATAAAAACTTGTCCATGCGCTTTTATTTTTACTAATTACGAAATTTTTTTCAATAAATCTAAAGTTATATTCCCTTAATTTTTCTTCCATTATTATTCTAGAGAATAAACTTCCAAATATTCGATTAAAATTATTCCATAGATGTAAGCGCGGTGAACATTCACCACAGTTGGTTGAAGGTACTCATGGCTAGCTAGTAGATCCGTGCAATGTTCGAATAGTTCCAAATAAATTATCCAAACTTATTCAAATTCCTGCAATTTACAGTCGTATCAATTTATTAAACTGAATGTTATGTTATGTTATGTTATGTTATGTTATGTTATGTTATGTTATGTTATGTTATGTTATGTTATGTTATGTTATGTTATGTTATGTTATGACTGCCAGATATTGAAATAAATAGATAACGCTATGCGAGGAGTAAATTTATATATGGAAATGTCTCAGCCTGGAATAAAAAATACTATTTTTCGCGCAAGGGACGTGCGTGAAATATTAATTCTTAGTCCACTCGCTTAATAACACCAAGTTTTAATTAAAAAGTTGTCCATGCGCTTTCATTTTTTTCATTAAGAAAAATTTAATTTCAATAATCGAAAGTTATATTCCTTTAATTTCTCTTCCATGAATATTCTAGATAATAAACTTCGAATTATTCGATTATAAGCATTCCATAAATGTAAGAGCGGTGAACATTCACCACAATTGAAGGTACCCAGATCTAGCTAGTAGATCCATGCAACGTTCGAATATCTATTAATAAATTATCCAAACTTATTCAAATTCCTGCAATTTACAGTCGTATCAATTTATTAAACTGAGTACAATTTATTTAACTAACCTGCTACAAGAAGCCTCCGTGGTGTTGACGACTACAGGACAAGATGCTTCAGGAACAGCTAGACGCTCCATCAGGTCTGACGGGGAGTTTAGCCACGACACGTCGGAACGAGATGACCTGAGGAAATTATATTAAGTTCTGATGATTTTAACTCAGATAAAAGACACAATTACTCGGAAATAGACTTGTAATCTTCTAAATATACCAATTAAGAAAAATTAAATTGAATGCCAAATTAACAAAAATCATTGAATTTTTTCCCAATTGGACATATTCATTACCTCGAATCGCGATACCATAAAGTATTCAATATATATTGCTTAATACATGGTAGGAAGGCAATAAAACCATTTACTTAAAATTGAATTCTTTCAGACAACCTGTCCATGTTCGTCATGCAGCATTAAATTTCACTTCGTAAATTCATTAATTGCTTTAAATGCATAATATACATTTGGAAAATAAATAGTAACTGAAAATGAATGTTGTATAAATAATTTTTGTATTTGTCGCCTCTAGCTTCAATGACACGAAACTAATTTCACTTGCTTTGAAATGACAAATAATCAAGAGTCCCTGAAGTGTCTTGTATTTCGAACGAAAGTTGCGGATTGAACTTAATTGAAGAAAGCCATGATGCAATTTGTTGTGAAAATCATTTGACATTTAAAAAAATTATCTAGAAATCATTTGAATAGAAAATTTTTATTGCTATACAACATAACTCNAGTCTGTTCTTGAAGGCGTTCATACTCGGAGCGTCAACGATGCTATCAGGGAGGCTGTTCCACATGTCGGTGGAATGATTATGATTTAATGTGGATGTATTTTTTTATGGTAGCGCTTCTCTGTACATCAACCAGAATGACAATTCTAATTTTCCTTTCAATCTAAAAATTTTTTGTGTCTCCGTATTATACGTAAGATAGCATAGGATAGCAGCGTAAAGTTTCGAGACATAAATTTAAGTATTATTTTTACCAAATTTCAGAAGAATATAAAAAATCTACTGTGGCATTTCGCTCCATAAACAACATTCTACTTATGCGTAACATTTTTATGACTCAAAACCATGATAAATTAGATACTATTCAATCGAAAATATTCCGTATTTGAGTGTTTCTATCTAGAAAATATATTTGATGGCCTTCCAGAATTAGAAGAGTTTTGAGATTATTTTCAATTCAAACTGCTATCCCACGTTTGAATATGTAGAAGACCTTACAGTTAGGTTCAAATCGTTTTTAGACAAGACGCAAACCTTGGGCGAAATCTGATGCAATACTAGACTGACACGTATACGACTAAGAGAGTTGTATACGTTTTTTTTCTGGACTATATATTTTAGTCTTCAATTTGAATCTTTAGCTCTCTAAATAAACTCTTAAATAAATCGCGAACATTCTTATTATGCATGACGAAGTTATGCGAGAATTAAGTACCGAGTAGATAGATGATGACGACAAATGAAGGATGTGACGACACTTGGGAACTGTGTTGCACCTTCTGTCAACCCGAAGGCGGTTCCCCGCTACAGCAACGTCACTGCTTCGTCATCGCACTGTTCCGAGAATCTATCTCTTCAACGCTCAGTCCGCGTCGCGTGGTTCGTGACCACGCTTGGAACAACGCCAAAAATTCATTCAGTATTTCACATCGCATATTTCTCCTAGCTTTTGCCATGAAATTTAATTGTAAAAATATCAGCAGTTACCACTAAATCCTGGGATATGCATTGTGGTTTCAAAATGTGTGAAGATTTTATCTGAAATTGAATTTGTTCATCGCCTGTGTGAACATGTTTATGCGTGTTGCTTCTCGTTTCAAGCGGTCCAACCAATGGCAGCACAAGGCCGAGAAGGAACGAATAGGACCGGTTTATGACGTAAATCATCGAGTAACGTTATAAAATATTAGTAATAGAATTAACGTTACATAAAATAGAACTATAAGCTATATTTTATTTGTAATCTCTTATGTAGCAGTCTGGTACGTTCATATGCATGTTCATATATGCCCTGCATGTTCATATGCAGCCACGTTTATAGAATAGTTATTTTTTTAATTTACTCTTTTTACTGACTTTCTACATCCGCATGAACTTTGCATCAAGGGAAATGCCCATTCAATGAGTACTACACTCACAGAAATAAAATAAAGAATCCAGCTTTCATGGCATGTGCAAGATTTCAAGCGCATGCACAAACCTATGATAGCAAGGAATTTGTTATCATAGGTTTAAAACATAGGTTTGTTTTGTTATCACACCACAAGACTTTAGTTTCCTCTCTAATCAGACAATCCAAGTTAGATTTCTTTTCAATGCAACGTTGTGGACGAAGTCCTGTGCGTTTATAAATGACCTCTTGTGCAGGGTATATCTTCTGTAATGCTTGCCCGGCAAGCGTCATCTTTTTATAGTTCAAAAAGTTCATTTGTTTGTTTTGAACATGACACAATAAATGTAAAGAGGTTATTGCTTTGAAATGAGATACTATTTTTAGTAATGGATCTACGTGGCATCGCAAAACATAGATTGCTTTGAAAATCAGAAAAAATTATGTTAACCATGTTAAAATTAAGAGCATTATCTAATACATATTGATAACTTAAATTTCCATGAAATTCCAAATCAGAGATTATTATTTAATGTTTAAATTTAAGAGTCATTTCACTAATTATTATAGATGAATTTAGGGAAATACTGCCTTGACTTGAAAAGTATTGAGGCCTCGTAGAGGCCTGCTCGCCACTCTTCTTTACTTCACGGGGTGTATGGTGCCATTCTAAATGCCTTCTTAATGACCATCCACCTATGGAATTTAGGAGCACGGCGGCCAAAATTGTAGCGCACGTACAATAATAGGAGCGAACGCCCCAAAGTGGCAAATCAGAGAGTTTTTTAGACTCTCCCTCAAGTTAATGTTTTTAGAATCTCCCTCAAGTTCATCATATAAGTAGACCAGTAAACATTGTGACGTTTGAAGGTTCTTAATACACATCCTTGCATGATGGCGAATAGACATGAGGCATGATGGCCATAGAAATTGAATTGAATTCTGGCATGATAGTTGTATAAAGTCAACGCAACGTTTGTATTCGTTTACTGTTGATACCATTACAACTGGGTCCGGCAAACTGTTGCACACGTTGACCATGCGCTCCTACCGAAAATTGATCTAACGTCGAGGCGGTTCTGTCTTTTTTATGCATTTTCTCATTTATGGAAAAAATGCACTATTATGCTCGCCATGTCCGTCCGTCCGTCCGAGACTTCACGTTTTCGTTGACGAGAAAATGCGCTCTCTGTCACTCACTACAGTGAGTACTGAGTTATATTTTTTGCAGCTTCAGAGTTTCATCGAAGGTCCTGCTTGATTTTATGCTCACTTGATAATTCGATTTGATTAAGTACCGTAAAATCCGAAGAAATATCCATATCGAATAGCACCGGCGTTTATAACCTGCTTTACTGAACCTGTATTTAAGAAAATTATCAGCATTACATGACTTCTGCAGATTCTCATTCAACCATGAGAGTTTTTTTATCTAACTGATACAGTAGAGGATCATCGATGAACCATACCATTTATCACTTTTTATCATTGTAAAGGAGCGAATCATCGATGACGGTGAGGGTTTCAATTCAAACTCTTCAATGACGACCCGTTGTATGTGGACGGAGTAATTGTACGGATCAAAGTGAAATGTGTGCTCTTAATTTTTCTTTTTATGCAATGTTTTTTGTCCAATTATTGGTCCCACCGAGAATATTGTAAAATAAATAAATGTTGCCAAAAGAATGGAACATTAGAACTAAAACTTCTGTTTCGTATAGCTAGGAAAATTAATTAGATGAATAACATATTATCACGATGCATTGTTTGTTGGAGCGCAAAATTTAAAAAATCAATTCTTTTGTTGAGGTATCTCGAAAGCAAATCGGTTTGACCCTTAATGTCCAATGCAAGGTGATATGGTTCTTGTCACGTTCAGTTGGATTATGTAACGTTGCAGTATAGCACCACGACCTCGAATTTCTAACGTCTCAGAGCAACCCAGTTTTTCCGATGATTCGGTAAGAACCTTGTTTGAATATTGTCTATATAGTTCCCATGTTTACTCGTTTATTAGGTAATTCAAACAGCAGTTGATACCTATACAACGATTGAAGTTAATGTCTTGTCATATTTCCACTTGTTACAGAAACCACTTCTGAACCAATAAAGTTCCTGTGTCGACTTATCTTTCACTCTCGTCTAAGGAATCACGAAATTTTCTTGATACTTTTTCCTTTTCTTGGCCGCATACCAATCATCGCAAAAATCATTACAATATTTTCTAATTATTTTCATCAGTACACTTCATCAGAACATAATCCATGACTAACTTTTCCTGGAGATGAGGTATGCCTGCTGTACCTTGTTATTAATACTCCTAAATCATAGTTCCTGTTATCATTTTATTTTACATGTTTTCGATTGTGCATTGCAAAGTTACTTAACTAAATGCATATTAGAGCACTTTTAGGTCAATCTGAAAATTCCTTGTTTAAATAATATTCATGCACAGGGATAAGGCGTGTACGATATGAACCAGTCCATTACACAAGACCAATGAATTGTGGGGGTACAGCTTAAGCGAGGAATTCAGTTTGATCGAACCGAATGTTTGTAAATATTTTTCGCACCTGAAATTAATGCAAATTAGAGAATGTTTCGTCATGCAGTTAATTGCCTTCTATCAAAAGACATAAGGCTTCAAATTAGTGATTATTGAATTTTAAATTATAAGAGGAATTTGTGTGCCTTGTGTGGCAATTCCTTGGCTTCGTTCGTTCACTAATAACCTAGCAATAAAAAACTGTACAATGTTGAATAATACTCAATATGTTTACCAAAAACTTCAAAAATGTCAGGATAGAAACAAAAAACGATTTCTCTATTTCTTCGCAAGTTTAAGCACCTATAAAGAAATATATACAGACTATGTTCTCGGCATAAAATTTCGAATCTACAAATACAGTCAATTTGTAATTTACAAACAATAAATTTGATGACACCACTACTATTTACATATGGTCAGAAAATTAAAAAAAAATGCAGGCTGTCAGACTGCCAGCAAGTATTCAACAAGTCTAATTTTAAATTATTAATAGATAAAATTTGTTTGTTTTCCATAATTCCACTAATTCTGCACTCGGAATAAAAACAAGTTTGCTAATATAGAATGGAAATCAATCAGTATTATCTTATCCTACGCAAATCGTAACGTTGCATAAGTAGCACGCGAATATATGTACTAGTGCGACATTATATTATCCCGCAAAACTTATTTTCAAGAGAATTCAGCAGCTTTTACAAGTGCCTGACGGAAGAATTTATACTCAATAGAATTATTTTACATAGCGATTGCGATTTTGTCATCTTCAGCCCGTGAATTTCATTAACCTGGTCATTAAGGTGCATGTTTTACGACATTATTGCCTCAAGGAGCATTCATCGAGGGTGTTGTGCAAGTAAATGCTCGTCTTAACAATGAAATATGGATTTAAATTATCATTTACATATTTTCCCTTTGCATTTTGGATTGGTGCAATTAGATGATGTGCAAATATTTCACATGCAGTAAATTGAGGCAGTCTTCAGTGGTTTTCTTTTCGTGAGCTCAGATTCAACAAGTGCAAAAATCCTTATATTTGCTTAAAGGTAGCAATTTAAATATGGTTTAAGTTGGTTGGCAGCATGTCGTTCCTGGAACTAACCGACAAATTGTATATGAATATTCAATTGTACTTAGATTATTTGTAAATATTTCTAACAAGCAATTAAGTTTTTGAGTGATGTTTGAAAATCATTCACTTATCTTAATAAGTGGCCTATAGGATAACACGCTTGTTTATGCTTCAATGCAGTAAATATGAACAATGTACGTAATTAAAATAATATCAACAAAGCTAATATGTACAGGAAATCTCATCATTACAGTTTTACTTTTAAGAAACATTTTGTATCGAAAATATAGAGATCAGGGTTAACTTGAAAGGACATTATTCATGTAAAGTTATAAAAATATCTTAAGTATTTAAATTTGCAAGCAAGTAAAGGAACAGGCAGCTACAACGACCCACAACTCATCGAGTTTTATAATCCATGATGTGGCATCGCACATGACCGTCAAGTTCCACTCGATTGAGATCAAACTGAAGCTGAAAGAGTGGAATTATTGAATTCACTCTTAACACTGAACTAAATTGTAAGAAAAATAAATGGAAAGCTGATATATTTCTTAGATAATTCGCACCGATGCTGTCGCAACATTAAGGTTAAGTCACTGGTCCCAATCGGATCCATGGTATCATTGTTATGGTATTTTAATTTTTCCGCTCAGCCAGCACATCATGTCATGGAAACGTGACAGTTAATATTTAATATCAGAAATCTAAAATGAATTTGGCACTGGAAGAACCCACAGGCACAAGTTACACCCGCTTATGGAAAGATCCAACAATGTTTAGCTGAATATATGTTCTTATGCAGTCATAATACTCGGGCATGAAGCGAATAAATTCTTTCAGTTCAAATAAATCACTGGTAGCCTAAACTTGTTACTTGCATTGGATATATTCATAAATGAGAGACAGTGCATTTACGGCTGCAGCTTTAGCTTCAGCGTAAATTTAAGCCAGTGTTTCCGCTAAACTGAAGTTACTGCAATAATAACATATGCAATTATATATACTGTGATAATTTATGGAAATTATTTGCTATATTTCTTTTTTATATGCAAGAAAAATGTTCGAACTAAAAAATAATTAAGCCAAAAAATCCTGACGACTTAAAGTGTCATTTTAAGCATCTGTATTAGCTAGGAACTTGAAGAATGCTCTCTTAAGATTAAAGTACTGCTTAAATACTGAAAATTTCTACTTAATAGTATTAACAAATCTAACTGTAGGCTAGGAATGTTTGTACAAAAGCATTATTACTTGTTAATGAAAATAATGTAGAGGAAAGTTTCAATTTCGGCCCATTAATTTCCCCCGGATAAAAAAGCCAACTAAAAAATTTCCGGATTTACGTTGACCGGACCATTTCTCAAAGATTTTCAGTTAATCGCACAAAGAAATCCATAAGACATTATTGATTAATGCTTTAATAATGTTCTAATAATACGTGGGCAACATTTTTTTGTAGCTGATAATGTACAGTAAACTTTTACGATGATATTTACCGTAGTCGATGTTAAATTTCATGCTGCATCTTTTCCAGCGAAAATTTTTCAGGATAAAATTCGACAGATGGAGCTTTGAAATATAAATCTCGAAATTTAGAAATTTGTGCATTTCACAATCACTATGTACAGACATGTTTTCGTTCCTCGTCTTCCATTTTGGTTTACCCGAAATTCGTAAACTCAAAGTGCTAGTCGTCTAATTTCAGCAAAACTTTATTTCACTTATGTATGAATAAACTTCATCACAGTAATTCTCAATAATTAATATCTATATACGTTACTTTTTCGCATTTACGTGCTGGGAAGAATCCTACTACGCATACACCAGACACAGAACGGTTTGCTTCATATACAAGTACAAGAAATGCCACTACAAGAAAGTAGCTTCTTCCTTTATAACGACGTTTCGAATGCATTCGAAACGTCGTTAATGAAGAAAAACTACTTCCTGAAACTTGCCTTTTAATCTACCGTCATCTGAAGAGAAGTTACACACCCTGATAATATAATTCAACCAATTCTCTGCTCATCAATCTCACGTGTATAAACAAGTAAATTCTGCCATCTAATACTAAGTCCAAGAAATGTGCATTCAAATCCTACTCAGCGGCATGGAATAGAGCATCAAGCTACTAAGCACAAGCTTTTGCTGTTGTCATTAAACTGTTTATCCTGTTGAAAATTTTACGTGGTAGCCTTCAAACCACCATAGTCGCCATATGCAGAAAATCACGATTTACTAGGAGTGTCGATCGCTTTGACATGCAACAAGTTTCTATCTATAAGAAGAATTTGGAACTCCCAAATGACCCCTAACATTATTTTTGAACATTTTGACCAGTCAACGTGAAAAAATTACAGAACATCCATCATCGCAGTGTAAACTAACAAAAAATGCTAAGGATATGCTGGTCCATCGCCAAAAAGCAGAAACAAATTTATAAAAAGTATTTCACAATATTTACAAACTACTTGTTCATGAGTATTAAAAATCTGTCATTTTAACATAGAGTTATGACATATCATCCAACACCAGAATGGTACTGAATAACTAAAGTATTCATGAGAGTATTGCGTCAATGTGTGAAATTAATGCGCTCAGGAATAAGACTATGAATTATATTCATGGACGAAATAGAGTAAATAAAAAGTTAAATTTATGAACGAAATTTAGAGAGACTTCATGGTCATTAAAAGAAATTGCTAGGTTATAACCTAGTAATGGATTAATGTGAATATCTAATTTGGTAACTCGTTCTCATGACTAATTTCTTTTCCTACCTCAATGAGTCGGTAATACATAACGAACGCTTCTTGATTTGCAAGATTATGCAATAAGTGAAAAATTAAATACAATGCTTTCAGCTGAAGCCTGGCTGTTTGTTGAGACTTTCGTCTAGGTCCTCCGGTAATGCGAGGCCTGATGCCTATCAGGCGAAGAAGAGGTCGACGGAGGGTAGAAAGAAGGGGAAATAGACGGCGCCAATAGCCCCATGGAGGCTGGAGACGCCAGTGGGGATCTGAAAGCAGCGCTTCCTAACCCCAATTCCAAACGTGGAGACTTCTCCGGGGAATGAGTGATCTGAGGGGAAGAAGTTGCCAATGGGGAGGAGGTAGCTATTGTGGATGCTAAACTAGTGAAACATGACGACCCGCTAGGAATCGCAAGAGAGCTTGTCATAGCAAAGTGTTTGCTCACAGCATCGATTGGAATGTGTGGAGGAGACAGAAAATTCGTCGTGGACGGTATAGACGACGCGATTGAGGTAACTCCGTGCTGTGGACTCGCATTAGATGAGGCTGATTGAGCAGGCGAGCTCGTAAGCTGAGCCATGCTGCTCGCGATGTATGAAGCTTGTGAAGAAATGCTTTCCCAATACGAGGGTGGTGGTTGGGTGTGTGGTGGGACTATGGGTGAAGTTGGGGCTGGTGCCACTATGGGGCTGCCGAACAAATGCGAGTAAGGGGCTAGCAGGGCCAAGTGATCCGTGCAACGTGCGCTGTCGATGCTCTGTTGCTGGCGCACTTGGTCTAGGCCACGGAAGTCGAACTTGTAGGCATATCTCTTCCCAGGAACTTTAGTCATAATGTTCTTGTCGTAATAATATCTGCAAAATAACAATACATTATCATCAACGCTATATATTATTCTGCAAATCGGCTTTTCATCGGAAATGGTGAAACTCGTTGTATTATATTATGCTCAAACATGCGACGCTCTAAATCATTCGTCTGATTGACACTGAGAAATTCAGAGTTCTGACTGGGATGGGTATCGGTGTACGAAAATATCACCGCGAACACCTCGAAGGCAACATGAATGTTGAATCATCAATTTCTCGTAAAATAAAAATTTCAATGCAGAAGACGATAGTAATAAATACTTATCAGTCGAGTCCCACTTGACAATCCATGAGACGCAAAATTAACCTCAAAATAAGTGAGATTTAATTTGAATTTTGACAACAGGGACTGCGAGTGAAACCTTCAAGTGCCGAGAATTTATAACAGAACAAGGAATACTAATTTTTTCACTCCAGCCGCGAAAGAAAAGTTTAATAATGAAACTGAAATATTTAATATTGATGTATTCCACAAAAAATGGGAAGATCTAAATATAGTTGATTAACTTCGTGCCTCGATGAAAAAGAGTTTCTAGTTATTGATTTGAAACATTATTGAATATAAATTCAGAAGCAAATTATAATTAAATGCTTCCCTGTGGTCTAAAAGAAATAAAGATACAGTGGGAGTGTATACCTACCTATACCTATTAAATGCTTTATGGCATACGTAGTGCATAATCAATCTTTTCTCCGATCACTTCAACAGAACCGAACGCGGGTACCCTGACGGTATTGAATTAACCAATATTAGCCAAAGTGAACCATACTTCGAAGCTAACGATGCATAAAGAAAAAAAAATTGGTCTAAAATCACTCAATAAAAAGTATATCTCATACCTTAAAGCCCTGGAGAGCTTGTCGTAATTCATGTTCGGTTTACTCTTGCGATCGCCCCATTTCTTGGCCACTTCCTCGGGTTCAATTATTTTGAACTCGCCGGAAGTTCCTTCCCAGGTGATAATGTCGCTGTTGCTAGGGTCCGCCAGCAGCTCCAGCAGGAACTGCCACAGCTGGATCTGTCCAGACCCCGGCGCTGACAGTCGGCTGGACCGTGGGCCCAACACTTCATATGGGTCAACTGCAATGAAAAATCATGAAAAAACTTAGGGAAAATATGTAATTATTATTTTGAAAAAGGAAATGGATGCGAGGAGTCTAATAATGAAGCTTGATATAGGTCTGGAATATAAAGGAAAAGTTACATAGCAACCATTTGAAATTAAGCGCAGTTGAATGAAAATTTTCAAATAATCGAGAAGAAAACAGTTTGTTTTTAATCTAAAAGAACACAGAAAGAAAATTAGTGGTAATAAACTTTGCCGTAATCCACGTTATGCGTTCGTTAAAAAATTATTATTGTTACGCATAAAAGAGATGCTGGAATCTACTGGAAAAAATATTCACCGTTTTAACACTGAGGATTAGTTAATAAAAAGTACTAGCAGGAAAATTCATAACCATAAGATTAGAAAATATTAACTAAGTGTCATTCGAGTAATCCGCGTTCCCCGATGTGGACCAATTAGCTATCTTACATACATATGCCAACTATGTTTGTTGGCTATCTAAAACCTGAGTGAGAGCACTAGTTGCATCAGCATAAGAACTTGTGTCTCAATAATTCATTAAAATTTTCGCTTCTTAGGTAAGTTCATGAAAAGGCTAAATAATATAATACAATATAATCTACAAAATAATTTGTTGTAATATCGTAATTGCTACAAATTTGTAATATTGTATGAAAAACGCAATCCTTTTGATTATCGATCAACGAATTATCAAGCCTTATGAACGAGTAAGGCTAAATCAATAAGCAATATTCTTATCTAAGTCCACGGCACTTCTTTTAATCTTATACGCCGAATACGCAAGCAGGCAGTATTTTCACTGCAGACACTCGCACAGAAGTACCAAGATCAAAAGTTCCTAATGAAGATAAGGTAAACGAAATAAAATTTATGTATTTCCGTTTGAAATAATATCTTGTTTATGAAATACAGTTTTTATATACTGCTGCAATTAAAGTATCAACTGCATTGTTTTCATGTGTTACATCATGCATTTGCAGTATCAACTGTATAGTTTTTAGGTTCTATTACACACAATTAGAATGCCAACTGAATAGCTACACCTAATGTAAATAGGAACTTCTTTGTTGTAATGTACTGAAATAAGAAATTAGGATATCAACAGTACAATTTTCACGTCCTGCTACACGCAATTAAAGTATCACCTGCATAGTTTTTATGTACTTCAACACGCACTTAAAATATGAACTATGTAGTTTTTATTCACTTCTACACGCAAGTTAGGTGTCAACTATATAGTTGACATTAAAATTTCTATTTCGGTTTTAATCAACGAAATTTAATGAATCGCTCAATAAAATTGGGAGAATCAATCGATTAAAACGGAAGAATCGATCAATTAAATTGAATTAATCGAACAATGAAATCGAACGAATGTATCAAAGACAATTGAACGAATCCGAAACTCACCAAATCTACTCAAGCGCAAGATTTCATGAAAGTGTGTCAATACTGGAGGAAATGTTCGACCATTCCTGAGACTTTCATATTATAAGCGAATTGTAAAAAAACCGTTTTTACGGTGTGCGCAAGGTTGCATGCCAATAAACAAGACCATGAAACCTTTAATGATTTAGAATGAAAATGTAAATAACTTTATCAGAAATGCACGTGAGTAATTTTTTGGTTTACAAGGATCACGCAAAAAAAACATTTTTTGTTCTTCTATGTATTACAATAATTTCATGCTATTCCAAATATGCTGAAATCATCCAGCAGTATAGCATTATTAATCAATATTAATATCAACTTATATTTAAAATTTATTAAAGCCGAATTCGATTATTGTGTGACAAATCTACATAAATGGAATTGAAACAGTAATTTGCTCGACCAAACGTTAAAAAAATAGATCAGTACTAACTGCAGTGACAGAGAGCGCATTTTCTCGTCGACGAAAACTTGAAGTCACGGACGGACAGACAGACGGACAGACGGACGGACGGACAGACGGACAAACAGACGGACGGACGGGCAGACGGTTATGGCGAGCACAATAGTGCATTTTTTCCATAAATGAGAAAATGCGCTAAAAATAAATGTTCAAACGAAATTGACAAAAAACTACGCACCGTAAAAATGAACATGCAAACAATCGCACATCTCACCGGTGTGTGCGAAGTTCAGAAAAGAGTTAGCAGCCCACACGGGCATCACGGAGGCCAAGTGGTGGGCTTTTCTCCAGATTGCCGAGCCCACAGCCCACTGATTGCTGCCACACACAGCCCACTGCCCACTTCCACCACCGCCCACCGCCCACCCGAGACCCGCCGCCGCCGCCACGCTCGTGGGTGGGTTTACCGGCGTAAATATGTAGTACTTCTACTGTTTCTACTAGATAATATGACCGTGAACGTTACTTCATTGAGTTTTGTGCATCACAACTTGATACATTGCTTTTATTTCAATTTTATACACGGAAAATTTATTTCATTTGGTTCTCTTCGTTGACTTTAAAACATCACAGCTATATGCATCGTAATCAGTTAATAGTGATGTACACTGTGCTTATTTCCTTTAGGATTCACATCATTTGGAATCGATTAAATTTCTTCCGAACACGCAATCAAAGCGCTAAGGTAACTGCCGCGATTTTACATGCCATCAATAATTCCAAGTTAGTGCCTATGAATTTTCCTAATCAATTTTACAGCGACCACGTAAGTGAAAATCATATTGGACTCATAGCAAATTGCGTAATGCGAGTCACTAAATCTTCGATTCACGCTCATAATTCTTCACTCAACTAACATATAATCACTTCATATCAAGCCTGGAAATTACGGGAGAAATAGAAAAGACATGCCATGTGAAAATATTTTTCAAGCCAAAAATCATCTCTGTTTCATACTGATGGTAGTCTATGGAATTCCAGAACACATTCATTCGAGGTTAATATTCAATACGGTTTACATTCATCATCCTACTTGACATGCCATTAAACAAAACTTACATTTTAAATTTTATAAACTAATTAAATGTTTGATAATCCCGTAAGGTGATCAGACTAACATTTCAAGCAATAATTGGTGTTTTCACTGCAAAAAATTCATGTCCGATTTCGGGAAATATGTACAAACACAGACGTACAATTGTAAGGATATAATGCAGCATATAGGATACTTGACGATCAGGGTAACTGTAATTATTTGACAAAGATCCTAATAATAAAAATACCAATTTCAAATAACCAATTCACATTTCAAAAAGCTTGTTCGGCATATCTTCAATAACACGACGACACACTGTCTTTTGAAATGAATCAAAAATTGAGTCGTTTTTTTTTTCTAGGAATATTCGTGTTTAGGACAGAAATAACAAATTATATTCAAACGGGATATGAAATTTTCTGTTTATCGCAGGTGCTCCGCAGGCTTCAAGTAGCCGACGTCGCAGTGAGCGCAATGAGCCGGACGGAGGTGGTGAAAATTTCGCGTCCGCGCGGGAGGACCGCGAGGCGGGGCCTGCTGCACTTCGCTTCCTGGGAGGGATCGCGTGACTCGGGGAATTGGTGAGGTATCTCTGAAGGTATCGATATATTCCGCTAATCCCGTGTATTTAAGGATTTTTGAGGATATTTACTTGTGATCCAAGGAGCGTTGCTAAATGCATTACTTCTGTTAAAAAATATGATTACCGTACCATTTTTGACTCTTCTTCATAATGCTGTTAAAAAAAGGCCTTGGAATTCGATAAAATTTAGAGTAAGATTCATTTTTTTACCTTTGTTTATTTTAAATTTTTTTCGTCGCTATGTATTACTTATACAAATTTCCCTTAAGTCAAATATAATTCACGAAATTAAGTTAGTTAAGAAAGTAAAGTTAATAAAAAAAATTAAGTTAGTCCACGGTTCATTTTTTTATGGAATCTGACATTGTGATATGTATATGTAATTAATGTATCGCATAAATGAATTAATGTATTGCATATCATAACTGAAAGTTATGCAATAGATTTTAATTTGTTACGAAGTAGAATATGTCTTCAAAACAGAAGCTCTAGAAGGCCTCCTGGCTTGTCCTTCGTCCTTAATGTAGTCGTGCCTCCCGTGAGGTCAACCGACTTGGCGACTTCACCAGATAAAGGCCAGCATAAATTGAGCATATTGGTAAGTGTTGGAAATCCGGGCGAAATCTGGCGCGTCACCGCCGGATCAGAGCATCCAGGCCTTATTGCAGCGCCGGTCGGCGTCGCGCAGCTGCCTGCTAGACGAGAACCTACGCCGGCTGGCAGTCGGCCGTCGAATGGCCAGCTATAGCAAGCGGGTAATTTTTAATGGACGAGCGAATGTTCCCTTAACTAATGATTATATGACTGTTTCAATGCGGAAAATAGATCATTAGTGGTTAGTCGGCGTCGCGCAACTGCCTGCTAGACGAGAACCTACGCCGGCCGACAGTCGGCCGTCGAATGGCCATCGATAGCAAGCGGGTAATTTTTAATTGGAGAGTGAATGTTCCCTTAACTAATGATTATATAACTGTTTCAATGCGGAAAATGGATCATTAGTGGTTAGTCGGACGCTTAATAGCCGATTGATGGTTAAAAACAAATATTTATGAATTCGACAAAAGCCTTAATCAATGTAACGATTCGTTTTGCATCGCATGATTTAATTAAATGAGGTGTGGATAATCAGCAGCCGAAAATTAAATTCAACACTTGACAAAATTCCAATTAAAAAAATCAATTTCGAGGTTATGGATCAAATAAACAGTAGATTTAGAATGTGCGAATTACTTCATCAACAAAAGACATTTATTGGTCGACTGGTTTGAATCAGGCATAATATTCAGATAAAACAGTAACCGTAATCACTCGGAGATTAAAGAACGCATAAAAAATCATATTCTAGTCCAATTATTGCATCTGCAGACTGTAACGGAAGAATAATTCAACAAGGAGAACTTGTACGATCTTTATATGTTTTCAAAAGTTAGTTGGTGTTTTCGTTATTGTGTTAGTTTAACAAGTTAGTTAGTGCAGT